ATCGGGGTTGCGGCCTCCAATCTAGGCCTGTGCCCCACCTCGGACAAACAGTCACAGGAATGTGACCGAGATGGCGTGCCCAGCCAAGCCAGTCTGGGCGGCCAGATGCTGGGATAGGGCCTGCCCTGCCCTTCACCCCACTTTCTGAGGTGGGCAGTTTTCTGGCTCCGGTGCTGACAGGCAAAGGGGAAAGACGCCCAGTCCTCTGGTGGCTGTCCCCACAGAGTGTGCCCTCGGCCCCCACAGAGTGTGCCCTCGGACACTGGCACTGTCCCTGCTGGAGTGGAAGGGGCTGCCTCCACAGAGTGTGCCCTCGGACACTGGCACTGTCCCTGCTGGAACGGAAGGGGCAGGGTGTGTGGACTCACTTGGCGGGAACGTGGGTAGAAAGAGGTTACGGAGGGACAGAGAAAGCTGGCCACGTGGTCAGCCTTGCACCCCATCCCACCTGCTCCATCTGCCGAATGTCGTCACCTCCTGTATGAAACACGAGGCCCCGCAGTGGCTGGTGTGCATTCTCCATGTGACTGGAACTAAGAGCTCCACACGCATTCTCCACCATCACCTCGAGACAGTCCTCCTACAGGGACGCTACGATCATTTCCACTGTGCAGATGAGGAAGTGGGTTCTCCGAGGCTGACTCGTGCCTGGCTAACGCCACACACGGATAAAGCCAGGCAGAGGCATCACTTGGACTTCTGCATCCTCAATGTTCCCTGCCTCCCTCTGAGTCTGTCTTCCCTCGAGCACTCTTCCCACCGTAGTCCCATACGCAGACTGCGCTGGATGCACGCTCTCTGCTGTCCCGGCTTCCCTCTGGGGCTTAAAAGGGCTACTGTTCCCAAAGACGCCTGCACTTTGGCCCGGGACCCTTGAAAATCCACAAAGAAGGTGCTCCTGGTGGTGCACGGGGCACCAGAATGGGGACTATTTGGGGATTTGGAAAGCAAAAAACCAACATTTTACAGTAAAACTTACTGGTGGGGTGCAGTGGCTCATGCCTGTAATCCCAGTACTTTGGTGGGAGGTTTGCTTGAGGTCAGGAGTTTGAGACCAGCCTAGGCAACCCAGGGAGACCCGGCTTCTACAAAAAAAAATTAATTATCTGAGCATGGTGGTGTGCACCTGTGGTTCCAGCTATTCAGGAGGCTGAGGTGGGAGGATCACCTGAACCCAGGAGGCTGAGACTGTAGGGAGCTATGATTGGGCCACTGCACTCCAGCCTGGGTGACAGAGCAAGATCTTGTCTCCAAAAAAAAGAAAAAGGTGTTTATTATACACCCCAAATAGGGATGGTGCTAATCTTTTGACCTAACAGGACTCGGATGAGACTTTTGTAAAGAAGGCAGTCACCTGGTCTTGTTTTGTTTCAGGGGAATAGAATGCAAGCATTTCCCACTCCAGACAGGCAGGTCCTCTGGCCCCCGCTGTGGCCTGGTCCCGACACAGGGTCCAGGTTTGGGAAGAGGCTGGCTGTTCAGGTCCACTCACTCCTTCCAGGTCTGAGTCCTCCGTCTTGCTGAGCATGTGCTTCCGCAGGGGCAAGAGGACAAACCCACAGGAGCATACCCTCCACCCAGCTTTTGAGGCGCTGTAAGCAAGCCCCAGCAGACTCAAGCAAGCTCCGATCGAGTTACTTCCCAGACAGCTGTGAGAGAGAACAGGCTGCAGAAGCCACCTGAGGTCTACAGCAAGCGGCTGGGGACGGAGAGAGCTTCAAGGGACAGGCATGGATGAAAGCGCCCCTTCCTTGGGCACCCGCACACTGACAGCCGAGGGTCTGGCTTTGGCTCCGCAGGGTCTCCACATCCACACACAGACCCGTGTGAGGTGCAAAGTCGCGCTCCGGCCACCTGCCCGGATGGTGGGCACCAGGGAGCCTTCCTTCCTCCCAGCCACAGAAACACAGCCCTCTCCCTTCCTGCCCTCCTGCCCTCCCGCCCGGGGTGCTGAGAACGGTCTGTGGCTTCACAGAATGGATGCACCCTTGCCTCCTACCCAAGCAGGGCCTCAGCCAGCCACTGGAGCGCCCTGTGGAACTCACTCACCCCTCAAGCCCCTAGTGGTCACTCCCTTTGGCACAGGGAGTAACTTCACCTCCTACTTCTAAAAATAGAAATTTTTTAATTAAAAAAAAAAAAAGAAGAAGCTTCCCTATTAGAGGAAGGGACCCTTCCTGGCCCCCTTCTTCCTGCACATCCCTCCCCCTCTACAAATCCACCTCCATCCTCCCGGTCACATCCACCACCCGACTGCCAGACCTCGGGCCTCCTTCCAACACCGCTGTCTCCCCCGTCTTCAGTGGCCGTTCTGCTCCCTGCGGGGTCGCCCACACAGCATCCAGTCCAATCGCTGCGTCCAAGGCAACAGCACCACCAACACAACCAAAACCAGATGAATGCATAAGCAAAAATGAAAAGGCAAAAAACTCACAACACCCAAATCACACCAGAGCCAAGAAAACCGCCAATCCCGCTCCTCTTCTCCCCTGCCCAGCCCGACTCCTTGAAAGTCAGCCTGCAGCTCTGCCCGTTTCTCCACCTCCAGTGTGCTCTCTTTGTTTGTGTTAGTAATCCTGACATTTTAATTTCTACCAAGCATAGATGTGAACATGGTTTGAAGGCTCAAATGGTTCACAAAAACTCCCGATACCGCCCTGCACTCCTGCCCTCCTGCACCCTCCTCTTCCCCCAGAGGCAGAGGCAGCCGCTTCCACCTCTTACTCTAATCGTGTTGGCATTTGTTTGCTCTGTGCATAAATAAGAGTGAGGTTTTATTGCTGGGCGTGGTGGTTCACACCTGTAATCCCAGCACTTAGGGAGGCAGAGATAGGAGAATTGTTTGAGCACGGACCTGCCTGGGCAACATAGCCAGGCCCCATTCTCCACAAAAAGGGGGAAAAAAAAAAAAAGTAGATTTACAGATTCTTCACTTTGGATGATGAGAATTGAGCTCTTGTCCTTCTCCGTCCCCCACCTCCCGCATTCAGTTCCCCTCCCTCCACCCTCCTGTGCGGCTGGCTGCGTGGGAATCTTGTGTAGGTCAGAATTCATCCTTCGTAGCACCGTATGTCATGCTCTTCAGAGACAAGCCATTTAGGGCACCAGAACCACTTCTCCTTTCTTTTGTTTCCCATGAAGCTAGTAATTGCCTGCAGTTTGGGGTTTTGTGGAGTTTTTTGTGTTTGTTTTGTTTTTTTGTTTCTGTTTTTCAAGAGAAGGGGCTTTTCTTCTTCTATTTACTTGTTATTAATTCAACTCAAATCTGGTGACAATTTTTTTTTTTTTTGAGACAGAGTCTCGCTCTGTTGTCCAAGCTGGAGTGTGGTGGCGGAATCACAGCTCACTGCAACCTCAATCTCCCAGGCTCAAGCCGTCCTCCCCTCTTAGTCTCCTGAGTAGCTAGGACTATAGATGTGCACCCACAGGCTTGGCTGATATTTTCTTTGTAGAGACGAGGTCTCGCTGTGTTGCCCAGGCTGGTCCAAACTCCTGGGCTGTGACAATTTTTTGAGTCTCCCTCAAGATCATCAGACACATCAGGTATTCCATCAGCTTCCTCTTCCTGGGGGGTCTCTCCCAGAGCCTTCCCACCTGCACGGGGTGCCCTCAAGGCCTGGGGCCCACGGTCCCTGCCTCGTCTTCCTGGGTGCCCCTCCTCACCCCTGTGCCCCTCTCCCCTTTCCTGCTGTGTGCACAGCTCTCGCTCCTGTCAGGTTCGTTCATGCGGGGACACGTTCTCCAGTGACCGCCTACGAAACTAACTAATAGGAGTTGGTATGGCTGGGTTTTAGACTGTTACTGTTGGACAACATTTTATTCTGCTTCCACCCTTGATTAATAGTTAAGCTGAGAATAAAATTGGGGTTAAAAGTAATTTTCTTTCAAAATGTGGGAGGCATAGTTCTGTTGTATTCAAGCTTCCAGAGTTACTATTTCTTCCATGATTTCCTGCGCTATTTTTCTGTCCTGTTTAGGACTTTCTATTATTTGTGTATCCAGTTTTCTGAACTGGCTCTCTAAGTTTCTTTATTTTACTGTCTTTTTTTTTTTTTTTCGAGACAGAGTCTCACTCTATTGCCCAGGCTGGAGTGCAATAGCGCGATCTCGGTTCGCTGCAACCTCCGCCTCCCTAATTCAAGTGATTCTCCTGCCTCAGCCTCCTGAGTAGCTGGGATTACAGGTGCGTGTCACCACGCCCGGCTAATTTTTGTATTTTTAGTAGAGACGGGGTTTCATCATGTTGGTCAGGCTGGTCTCGAACTCCTGACCTCATGATCCACCCGCCTCGGTCTCCCTAAGTGCTGGGATTACAGGCGTGAGCCCCCGTGCCCGGCTATTTTACTGTCTTCTATCTCTTTGTCATTTTGCTCTACTTTCTGGGAAGTTCCTCAAATTTGTCTTCCTATCCTTCTACTGAGTTTTTAATTTTTATTGTTAATTTTTAAAAACGTATTTCTAAGAGATTTCTTCTGTGCTCTGATTTTCCTTTTCAAAGTCATCCTTCTTTGCTTCACGGATCTGTTATATTTTCTTTTTTCCCCTCCTAGGATATTAGTAATCGTATGGATGTTTTATTCTCCCTTATACTCACTTTTTGTTTGTTTTGATTTCCCTGTTTTATATTAAAGGCATTCCTGGGATTTCTGGTAATCTTTGTTTTAATAGTTTATATTTTAAAAAACAACCTTATTGGGGCTTGGCGCGGTGGCTGACGCCTATAACCCCAGCACTGTGGGAGGCCAAGGCGGGTGGGTCACCTGAGGCCAGGAGTTTGAGACCAGCCTGGTCAACATGGTGAAACCTCATCTCTACTAAAAATACAAAACTTTGCCTGGCATGGTGCTGCACACGTCTGTAGTCCCAGCTACTCGGGAGACTGAGGCAGGAGAATCGCTTGAGCCCAGGAGGTTACAGTGAGCCAAGATCATGTCACTGCACTCCAGCCTGGGTGACAGAGCGAGACTCTGTCTCAAAAATAATAATTAATTAAAACAATCTTATTGAGGCACAATTTGCATTTAATAAAAGACAACTGTTTTCCACATACATTTTGATAAGTTTGGCACATACATGCATGCATGTGACAACCATGAGAATCAAAAGAAAGAACATTTCCATCACGTAAGATAGTTCCTGTGCCTTTCCCAGTCAATCCCCACCATCCTCACCCCTCAGTCCCAGGCAACCACTAATCTACTTTCTTTGCTATGGAGTAGATTTGTCATTTCTAGCGTTTTATATAAATAAAATCTTACATGGTATGTTCATCCACGGTGTACATGGTGCCCGCATTCTTTTGTCCAGCATGATGTGCATGAAATTCATTCATGTTTTGAGCACTTCAGAGTTCATTTCTTCTTATTGCTGTTTTCCCCCAGTAACCCATTGCATGAATATGTCTTTATTTATTCATCCATCTGCCAATGGACATTTGGCTTGGTTCAGTTTTAGTTATTATGACTAAAGCTGCTAGGAATATTCACGTAAAAGTCTCTGTGTGGGCATATCTAGTTGTAGAGTGGCAAAGTCAAATTGTCAGTGAATCTTAGGTTTATAGGAAACCATCAAAATGGTTTCCGAAATGGTCGTACCGTTTTCCATTCCCACCAAAAATGTATGAGAGTTCCAGTTTCTCCACATCTTCTATTATCAATCTTTTAAGATTTTAGCCATTCTTATGGGTACGTAGTGGTAGCCTTTTGAGGTTTTAATACGCATTTCCCCAACAATTAATGACGTTGGACAATTTTTTGTGTCATTATTGGCTATTTGTATAGCTTCTTTTGTGAAGTGTGCATTCAAATAATTTTTCATATTTTCTATTAGATGATGACAGATAGACTCAATTCTTGTTAATCACAGGAGTTACGTTCTATAAACTCACCACAAACACTGAATTAGGGAATACCGAACTGCTGCTCGCAGGATAAATAGAGGATGAGGTTCTTATGAGCCTATGGCCACAATATTTTTGTCATCTGAGAAATACGTAATCTTGTTTTATGTGAATTTCTGTTTAGAGACACCCTTATTTAACGTATGTCATTGGTTCATTAACGCTGAAATAACAGCCAACAGCACTGTAACTCACGCCTGAACAAAGCTGGTCGAACACGTGTATTTTCTCCACAAGGCACATGGAAGCACTCTCGAGCATCCGACAGCACGTCAGCACTGTGCTTGAGGGTCACTGGACACAAAGCACCAAATGCGAACAAAGGGGCACTAAGTGGGCAACACAAAGACTTGTTTACAGTGTGAGCTCACACCGTTGGGTTTAACCACGGCTGCTTGGATATGATACCAAAAGCACAGGCAACAAAAGAAAAAGTAGGCAAATTGGACTTCATAAATATTTAAAAGTTTTGTGCACCAAAAGGCAACATCAACAGAGCAAAACATAACCAGCAGAATGGGAGAACATATTTGCAAATCATGCATCTGATAAGAGATTAATATACAGAATATATGGAGAACTCCTGAAACTCAGCAACATGAAAAGAACGAACCTGGCTGGACGCGGTGGCTCACACCTGTAATCCCAGCACTTCGGGAGGCCAAACTGTGGATTGCAGCCAAACCCTTCTGTGTCCACCTGCGGGGCCACATGAGCCGCCAGTTCTGGGGTCCAGGACATTTAGGCTCAGGAGAAACTGCACCTTGAAAGAGAGATGACCAGAGAGGAGCAGCCTTTTAACTGGCCTCCATCTGTTGGTGTCTCAAAACTTCATCTGTCAGATACCAAAGGAATCAAAGAAAAGCTTCACCCAGAAAAGGGAATAATTCTTATTTCAGAAGGTTCCACCACAGGACTACTGTAATGTTCTATAGATGTGCCATAATTTTTTGGGGATTTTCACCTTTGGATGCATCCATGGAATTGACATGCCATTTTGTTTTGTGTGTTGCCTGGACTTGGGAGCTTTAAAAAATACAGCCCAGGACCCAAGCCTTGGAAATCCGGATCCAGTTGCCAGGTAACGGACGTTGAAATCTGCTTTTTTGTTTGTTTGTTTTTTTGTTTTTTTTGAGACAGGGTCTCTCTCTCTCTGTTGCCAAGGCTGGAGTGCAGTGGTACAATCACAGATGACTGCAGCCTTGAACTCTTGGGCTTAAGCATCCTCCCACCTCAGCCTCCTAAGTAGCTGGGACTACAGGTGCGTGCCACCACTCCCAGTTACTTTTTATTTTTTGTAGAGACACAGTCTCACGATGTTGCCCAGGCTGGCCACAAACTCCTGGCTTTAAGCAGTCTCCCTGCCTCGGCCTCTGAAAACGCTGGGATTCCAGGGGTAAGCCACTGCACCTGGCCAGAAATCTGCATTTTTAAAGAGCTTTTTCAGAAGGTTCATTTATGGTCAGCCAGGTTTGAAAACCACTGACTGAGAAGGTACTGGAAGGCCCTGGCCTCAGCCTCATCATCAATGAGATCAAGGGGCTCCTGGAAGGTCTCAGAGATGGCATGGTCACATGCCAATTCTAGCCCACGTGAAGCAGGAATGTGTGTGTGGGTGCACACTGCTGAGTCCGGCTCTCACTGGGGACTCAAGGGGACTCTAAACCTGTGGCTTCCATCCTGAGGGCCCTGGGAACTAGCTCTGCACATTCACCTGCAGTCCAAGCCCCTTATAACCTCCAGTGTTGTTTTTCAAAATGTATACCTGTGCTCATGGTGCCTGCGTTAAAAACACCGCTGACCTCAGAGCGGCGTTTTACAAACCTCTATCTCCATCGACAGCTACTAGAAGTGTACCTACTATTAACATGTGTCTTGGGTAGAGGACCAATGTGCGAATTTAAAATATATATATATTAAACAGAGATCTTTGAGCATGGACAGGCTGGGAAGTCCTGGGGAGAGGGCCTCCCTGGAGCCAGAGGCCGCCTCTGAGTTAATGAGCAGCTGGGTAGCTGCTGCCCTGACCGCTGGGCAGGCAGTCACCCCACTCCCACCCCACTCGGGTGACAGCTGGCCCGGGTGCGGTCCAGGACTTGAGTCATCCCAGTCTGTGACAGGGAGGGCAACGTTAGAGAGGAGGGCCTGGGACAGAGTGAGCCTTTTGACCATGGAACTGCCTGGGGTGAGGGTGAGGGCACCGTGGCGGCCATCCTAGTGAAGCCCCACCCCACCCCACACTTCAGGCTGACTCTTAAGATTCTTAGAAGAGTTCTCAGCCTGCCCAACATTGAGTGGAAGGGTCTGGGTGTTGATAGCCTCAAAGGCACCTGTCAGGCCCACAAAGACACCATGAACAAGCCCACAGTACCTGACCAGCAGCATGGCTGACCCCACGGTCCTTCCCTAGGCGTAGGCAGGGGCTATGGAGGGTCAGCTGGCCAGCGTCTGATTCATAGGCTCAAATCAAAACGGCCGCTGAAGCTCACATGGCTTCCTGTGGGGAGGAAAGGAGATTTTACTCCTGCACAGCCCAAGGGCACAAGAAGCCCTGGCCATACGGCCATCTGGAGAGGAGAGCACACCAGGCACCTGAGGCTGTGTGAGGTGGGTGAAGGCCAGCAGTCTCCGAATGCTCTCAGATGCCCCTGTGCTCAACAGCATGTTCCCCACGCCCCAGACGCCCAGCTGGGAAATTCTGCGTGGTCCATGGTAAATGCCCTTTCTGAGAAGCAACCACGACCTTCTCAAGAACACTTCAGAGGCACTTTTCCTTCTTCTCCACCAACCGACATCCTATTTTGTTGGAACTCACCAGGCAGAGCGCACCCAGCTCTGCTCCTGCACCTTCCCTCAGAGCTTTAACAGCTGTTTCCAGGCTGCCTCTTTCTTTGGAAACTGCTGCACAGCGGTAACAACGAGCAACAACTCGGGACGCGTTCTTGTTAACGGAAGAGAGGGCCAGGTGGAACCGCCAAGGGGGCCATTTCTGGCTCTGCTGGAGTCTGTCAGCTTCTGGTGGGAGCCACAGCCTGAGGGCAGCCAGGATGGCTCTGCTGGGAGGGAGACCCTGGGAGCAGGTGACGAAGGCTCCTGGAGGCAGGGTTATAGCCCGGGGTCCCAGAGGCAGGAACAAAGCCCCCAGGGCAGGCGGGTGAAGGCTGCTGGGGGTCGGAGGGGAAGCCTTGCTGCCTAGGAGCTCAGGCTGGACTGAGAAGGGCAATGCCACAGAACCACTGAAAGGAGCAGGACAGCAGTCAGAGTTCCGGACGAGACTGCAGAGGGCGGGGGAGCCAAGCACCACGGGGACGTCAGGAAGGGCCGTGAGCCCTCCTCTGAAGGCCACTGTGGCACCCGCATTCGTGAAGGGCTTGAATGACTCCTCTTTTAACGGACAGGCATCCAAGGGCTTCCTGAAAGCCACAGAAAGCCTGGCAGTAGGTTGTTCCTTACCTTCTAGGAATGATCTTGGTCATGCTGGTGGTGAATCCCCCTCCCTTTGGTGACCCCCCCCCCCTCCCCGACATCTGCCCCAAGCGACTTCTCCAGCAGCCTTGGGAGGCAGAGAGAGCCACTCTGGCCTGCTGTCCCAGACCTTGAGGGTGCCATGGGTTACACGTGTGCTCACATGAGTCTATGAGTTGAATCCCCATAGGACTGGGGGCAGCACCATGTCTGAAGCAGCAGCTGCACTTGCAAGATGAAGATCTGAGCCAGTTTTTCAGTTGTATCTGCAGCGTTTATCAAGAAAGGGCCTCTGGGTTTGTGTTTACTGGACATGAATTGAGCTGCTCTCCAGGGATAAGAAAAAAATATAGCAGCCCTGCTATGTGGGCACCCCATGGCAGCCCCCGGGGTTAAGGGGCAGCTTTCTTTCCAAGGAATCCCACTGCCAAAGATGAACCTTCAGGTGAGGGCTCAGAGCTGCTTGCTTGGGCAGATACTTACGGCATGGCAGCATGGTTCCCAGGGAGATGAGTCCATTGCCCCACAGAGGAATCTGTGCTCAGGCGCTGTGCCCAGGGAATATCAAGATCCGCACCCGGGAAGCCTAAGGCTGTAGCCTCAGCCCCAGTTAAGGATCATGCAGTTTGGTCTGTCCCTTAGTTTTACAGATGGGGAAACTGAGGACCCAGAGGAAGCAAGAGCAGCCCCAGGCCACACAACCCCCTTTTTATTATTCATTCACTGACTACACTGCAGAGGCTGGACCCCTATCTCATCATCTGAATAGTAAATTGTTTTCTCTTCCTGACCCTTAGTCTGTGGGGGGTCTCATTGCACCATGCATCCAAGAAGGAACTTTCTGAAGCTTTCCAATGCCACCCAATCCCTGCATCCTACTCTATGCTTGAAAGTGAAGCTCGTGGGTTTTTTTCCACTTCAGGTTGTTTTTAAAACCACAATCGGCCGGGAGCGGTGGCTCACTCCTGTAATCCCAGCACTTTGGTGGGAGACTGAGGCCGGTGGATCACCTGAGGTCAGGAGTTCGAGACTAGCCTGGCCAACATGGTGAAACCCCGTCTCTACCAAAAATTACAAAAATGGCCCGGGCGTGGTGGCAGGCCCCGGTAATCCCAGTTACTCGGGAGGCTGAGGCAGGAGGATCGCTTGAATCCGGGAGGCGGAGGTTGCGCTGAGCCGAGATTGCGCCCTTGCACTCCAGCCTGGGGGTCAAGAGCGGAAAACCGCCTCAAAAATCAAAAACAATAACAAAAAACCCACAATCAGTGCTGAGTGCTGAGCGGCACCCGCCAGCAGCACCGCCCTCCCTCCCCGGCCACCCTCAGGCCGGCCCCGCCCCCGAGGTCACCCCTGGCAGGGGGCGCCTCCCGGGTGCATCTCCCCTGGCGGGACTGGCGCCTCCCGGGTGCAGCTCCCCGGGTGCAGCTCCCCCGGCGGGACGGGCGCCCCGGCCCTCTCGGGAAACGCCAGCGCCCAGCCCAGTTCGGGCCAGCAAGGGGCGTTCGCGTAGCAAACACCGAGCGGGGCTTGCTGACTCGCGCCCTCCAGAAGGCGCCTTGTTCAGGCGGGGGCGTCTGGACCCGCGCAGACCCCTCCTCGAACCAGCAGCAGCTAAGAGGTGGGACCGCCGGGGACCGGGAACGAAGGCTCCCTCCGGCGGCCGAGCGCGCCGCAGCCCGAGGGGGGGTCAGGGGACGCTCCCAGGTCCCAGCAGGCGCCACCAGCGTCCCAAACGCCCGCGCACCCCGCCTGCTCCTCCCGGAGCGCCTGGCGGAACGGAGGGGTTCTCCGGCCGCTACCCTGGCGGGGCGCCCCCCACCTGCAGGGACCCCACCAAGGTTCAGCAGCCGGCTGGGCAGAGCTGTGGGGATCGCAGAGCCCCAGGACTACGGCGGGGCGTCCCACACACCCTACGGGGCCTGTGCAGCTGCCGGGGTCCTCTCCCTTCCCCCTCCCCACGAGCCTCCGCAACCACTGTGTCTCCCGGTGTATACAGCACCCTTGACATAACCAACTCCGCCTTAGAAAAAGACTGCATCTTACACACCGTAGGACACTGTGCTAACAGGGACCAGATATTTGCCTGGTCAATAAAGACTGCATCCAGCCGGACAAGGGCATAACCAAGCACGCTCCTCCACTCAGTCCTCGTCAGAGGACACCGTGGCCATAAGAGCAGGACTTCAGCAGCCGCAAATGGCCGTCTGAACAGACCCAGTCTTACAGCCACTGGTGATCAGCACCTGACATCTGCCCACATCAAAGACGCTTCCTACAAGTACTGAAGGTTGCACCAGCCCACACCGAGATTTCTTTTTCTCTGTTACTCTCCTTGGACTGGTTTGTTAACCTTTTTCCTACCGCCCTTCTCTTCATGTTAAATGTTACTGCGTGTTGTGGAATGTTTAATCTATAACATCTATATATTGATTAAGTATATGACTCTGCATGGCTTGTAATGCTGACTGGCTGGTGGAGTGGCTGGAGCATGTGTGCTCTGACTGGGGAAGTGAACAGGAAGTACTAAGGAGAACTGCCCCCTGAGGAACTCCATGGCACTCATGGCCCCTGTGATTGAAATAACATCAATCAGAGTCAGACACTGTGGAAAGACAAAACACGCGCGGACCTGGTTATTGCTGAATTGTGTGCACCGCTCAGGACAGAGGGCTCGGGACTCACGTGGCTCCCACACACAATCCAGCTTCAGCTCTGAACTAGCCAAGCTCCACCACGCCACAGTCCCTTCGCCCTCTACCCAGTGTGTGCACGCACACGCACTCACACACCTCCTACTGTCCCTCATGACCCTACGCAAAAATCCTTTCACTCCTCAGTGCTCCTTGAGCTTTCCTTCAAAGGCCTTTGAAACCCTTGCTTCTCCTCCACTCTCTGAGCTATTTCCAGGTAAGGGAACTTGTCCAGCCTCACTGGGGCAGCCTGGTCTTAGGAGCTGGGCACTGGGCCTGCCTGCCTGGGTGTCAACCCTGGCCTCACCTCTTACCAGCTATGTGTTGAGCAAGGTTTTTAATTTGGGGATCTAAGTGCTCAAGGTTATTAATTTAAATATGTAAGTGGATTACAACACTGTCAAGCACAGGTCAAGTGTTCAATAAATGTCAGCACATTGGAAAAAAAAACACCTAAAGTCACAGGACACTAATACTCACCAAACAATATTCTAGGTAAGCATGAGGAGATCAACCAACATCAAAGTAATGAGCAAATCTCTGAGGGTCCAGAATCACTGATTTGAGTGCTAAGAAAAAGGCTGAGGTGCTTCTGCCTGTCGCAGGCTGTAGAGCTGTGGCAGCCAGTGACAGTGCTGTGCAGCGTAGACACTCATTGCTTCTGCCTGCACCTACAGCTCGGTTCTCATTTGCTGGCCTCTTTCTAAAAATAAATGAGCCTCTGGCTGGGCACAGTCACTCACGCCTGTAATCCCAGCAGTTCGGGAGGCTGAGGCGGGAAGATTGCTTCAGCACAGGAGTTCAAGACCAGCCTAGGCAAGAAAGCGAGATGCTGTCCCTACAAAAAGAAAAAAAAATTACTGGGTGTGGTGGCATGTGCCTGTGGCCAGTTACCTGGGAGGCTGAAGTACAGGATCGCTTTATCCCAGGAAGTTGAGGCTGCAGTGAGCTGTTTACACCACTACACTCCAGCCTGGGCAACAGAGCGAGACTCTGTCCCTAAAAAAACCAAAAATTAAAAAAAAAAAAAGAGCCTTTTAGAAGTAGCGGCACTGGGCTGTTGAGAGGATGGCTCCAACTCACACGCCTCAGGTCTAGGAGGAGCTCAGAAGGCTCCACTCCCTGAGCTGCTGTTTGTCCCCGGCAGCCCATCAGCCACCGATGACACCCAGCATGATGCTTTCCTCTCCACCCGTGCTACGCTGGCCGACGGTGTGGATCTTACATAACGCTCACGCGGTGGAGAGCTCATTACTTTCAGAAAGCTGAGATGGTGGTGGAGGGTGCTGGGGTCGGACCGAAGACTTAAGCAACACGACTGACATCACACAGCAAGTTGATGAATTTTCAAGGGGCAGTCCCCAGATCCGGTGTGCGTCCTGCCTTTGCCCCACAACCCTGACCCTGACTTACACTTTAGGCTAGTGATAAACTGCAGTGCGAATGCATGATCTGCAGCTGAAAGGTGTTTGAAAACCGCTCAGGAGAGGAAGAGAAGCAAATGCGATTCTTTCAAGGTAGTCTTTGTCATGCAAATCTGGAAGCTTAACTTTAATCATGTTGCTAGCGGGTACTCACACCCCTTGAAGATCCCACATCTAGCATTTCAAACAGAAGTTATTATCTCTGTAGAACACAGCATTTTTCTTTTCTTTCTTTTGCTTTTTTTTTTTTTTTTTTTTTTGAGATGGAGTCTTGCTCTGTCGCCCAGGCTGGAGTGCAGTGGTGCAATCTTGGCTCACCGCAACCTCCGACTCCCTGGTTCAAGCGATTCTCCTGCCTCAGTCTCCCGAGAAGCTGGGATTACAGGCATGTGCCACCACGCCCAGCTAGTTTTTGTATTTTTGGTAGAGACGGGGTTTCATCACGTTGACCAGGATGGTCTGGATCTCCTGACCTCGTGATCTGCCTGCCTCAGCCTCCCAAAGGGCTGGGATTACAGGTGTGAGCCACCGCACCTGGCCCAGACACAAGCATGTCTAACTGCAAACTATTTCACTGAAAGGAGAGAGAGGTTTCTACTAGAATCATCAGTGTCTACATTGCGCATTCAGTAAACAGGGACTAATATATTTGGGAAGCTCTTCCTACCCCCTGGTGGTTGTAAAGATGTTTAGCATAAACTGCACACTAAAGAGTGTACTCTTGGCCGGGCGCGGAGGCTCAGCCTGTAATCCCAGCACTTTGGGAGGCTAAGGCAGGAGGATCAGGAGGTCAGGAGATCGAGACCATCCTGGTGGACACGGTGAAACCCTGTCTCTACTAAAAATACAAAAAATTAGGCAGGCATGGTGGTGGCGCCTATAGTCCCAGCTACTCGAGAGACTGAGGCAGGAGAATGGCGGGAACCCGGGAGGCGGAGCTTGCAGTGAGCCAAGATCATGCCACTGCGCTCCAGCCTGGGCAACAGAGCAAGACTCTGTCTCAAAAAAAAAAAAAAGTGTACTCTTGGGTAAGTTTTGATATATACATACACTGTGAAACCATCACCACAACCAATTTGTTGAACATATCTGTCACCCGTAAAAGTTGCTTCATGCCCCTTTGTAATCCCTCCCTCACACCCATCTTACCCCCACCCAGCCCCAGGCAACTGCTGATCCACTTTCTGTTATTGTAGACTAGTTTGCACTTCCTAGAATTTTATAGAAATGAAATCATACAGCATGTGCTCACTTTTTGGTCTTACTTCTTACACTCAATGCATTTTGAGACCCATCTGTATTGCATATCAATAGTCCTTTTTTTTATTGGCCAGGTGTGGTGGCTCACACCTGTAATCCCAGCACTTTGGGAGACCAAGGTGGGCAGATCACTTGTCAGGAGTTCAAGACCAGCCTGGCCAACATGGTGAAACCCCGTCTGTACTAAAAATACAAAAATTAGCCAGGCATGGTGGTGCACGCCTGTAATCCTAGCTACTGGGGAGGCTGAGGCACGAGAACCCAAGGAGGTGGAGGTTGCAGTGAGCCAAGATCGTGCCACTGCACTCCACTCCAGTCTCGGCAACAGAGCAAGACTCCATCTCAAAAACACAAAAACAAAAACAAAACCTATGCTACCTGCAAGGCCATTTGCACAACGCATGAGTCAGATGACTCCATTCTTTGAATGGCCAAGGCGACAGCATTGTTTCAAAGAACTTCTGACTAGAGAGTATCATGAATGTGCAATATTTCACATAAAGAAATAGTTTTTAAAACATATTGAAAACTAGAGGAAAAAACATCCTACCTATAGAGAGTAAAAATAGAATTACATCCAACTTCTCCCCAAAACCACGCAAGCAAGAGTGGAGTGAAATATTTAAAGTGGTAAG